TTTTAATAATGTAAAGCAGTGGACAAAGAATATAAAAATTCTCTATTAGTTGCTGATGAGGTTAAAACTTATCGAAAGTTTTATTTAATCTGTGGTTGATATCCGAATTAATAACGCCTTGATATACCATACTGGTAGGTATATGCTTTAAAAAAACGAAACCACGAAATAAATATAATGCCTTCATCAATTATAAAGAACATTTTATTTAATTGCAAAAAATGCAGCTCCAGATGATATTGCGTTATTTATAATCTAGCCTCTTGCCAGTAACCTGCATATTCATATTTATCTCCTTATAACAATATAAATTACTTTAAAAGTTTACAGAATAAAATATAAGTTCGGTCACTTAGCATCGGCACTTTGAAAATCGCGTATCAAAAGCCAGAAGCCGCCTCGTCCGATACGCCGGATTTCGATGAAAACAGGAGTGGAAGCCGGGGTAAATAGAAGCCGCATTTTTACCGATCGCAAGGTGCGACAAGGTGCAGGGGACGGGGTATTTCAAAAATACCTAATGGTAAATCTACAAAAGAAAAATATACTACATCATTTATTGGTATATTACATATAAATATTTAGACATGGCAAGATAAAAAAGATATAGCAAAAATAAAAAAAATTTAAAAACAAACACAAAAAAATAAAGCTACACAATATCAACAGTAAATAATGTAAAAGTATATTACGTAACGAGTGTTTTGGAAAAAATAATATTACGCACGAGTGCAGTATTCCATGAGTGCGTAATATGGTTTTCCAACACGAATTACGTACACTATAAAATTCAAAGCTGAAACTACTAAATGTCAACAACTTTTGATGTTTAAATGGTATCCTCGGTATTTTTTTACGTTATTCGATAGAAAATGATACTCTGAGTAGAAAGAACAGTTTCACATATGATTTATTTGAAAGTGTAACACGCGGTTTATAACGACAATTTGACTCGAAATACCAAGTATGTGGCATGAAATTATTCGTAAAAAAAATACTTTTTCCAAATATACTAATGAGCCACCCTCTTTCCATTTGAAAAAAATTAAGATATGGTTAAAAATACCATTTTGACCAAGACATGGAAAACATTAGACGATCAAATCTATTTTTCCCAGGGCTCCTTGATTAAAGTTTTGTTTTTAAAAGAGTTATGACACTCAATATTGAAATTTTAAAAGATTTTTTTAAGCTAAAATGCCAAAAGTTGACATAATATGTCGTTCTATTCAGAGTGTCATTTTTTATCGAATAAAGTAGAAAAATGCCGAGGTTGCCGTTTAAAAATCAAAAGTTGTAGTCATTTTCGGTGAAACCGGAAGTGACCGAAAAAAATTGAAAACGTTAATCAATCCTAATTTAGGTTATTTCTCATCGGGGTAGATTATCACGAGATAACAGGGTTAAATTGTTTTATAAAGAGGTAGATCTACCCCGAATGGGGTAGCTGTGGCAACACTGCCTTTATTACTTTTCTTCCCGCTTAACTGATTTAATATTACTATTTTCATTTCTTACACAAAGTATGAAGTTTAGATATATATTTTTTTATATTTGCGTAAGTTTTTTTGAACCATTTCTTAACTATAAAAATGTCATATTTTCTTGGGTTGAGGTTTGTTAATAAATAATAATAATAATATACTAACACACCAAATCTCGTTTTTTTATCTGAAAAAATAAAAAAGTTATAGGGGATAAGCCACTTTTGAGACACACCCAGTATATGATTTTTCATGTAAAAAAATAAAGTGTTCTTGAGTAATTCTAATTAGATATTTTAAATAATTTTTTTTCCAGTGGCGAAAAACTCAATATTATTTTTAAGAAATAATAAAAATAATTATGCTTTTTTTATAATAAACTAATAAATAATTAACTAAGGCTAATGTGATCAGTAACATTTTGCAATGAAAATTAAATAATCACTTGAAAAATAACTACTCTGTAATAACGCCAAAATCAGAGTAATACGCCGAACGTGATCTGCCGTGTATGGTGGGTCCAAAGTCCACACACCAGTAATACACTGGGAAACACGTGCGTGAAGCGGCTTTTGATACCTGCCGCCGGCACAAGTGACGGAACTTATATTTTGTTTTACAGACTATAATCTCATAATTAACTAGGGTATTCGGTTACGGTTTGGCCATAAGTTGGTGTATAACAAAACTTTTTAAAGATTAATATGAAGTCAAAATTATGATAACAACAGAATCTAAAAATATAAAAAAAATAAATCAAGTGGATAATAATAAACATTTAAATTATTAAATACCATAAAGTAAGTATCCACTATAAAAGACACTTTTATTAAGAGGCAATTATTTTGAATGCCGAACATCTAGTAGGTAATCGAGAAAATATTAGCTCAGATATATTTAAATTATAAGTTTATCCGTATTAAGGTTCATTCTCACTATATCTTCCGTTTCCATTCCATATCCGTTCCGTATTTTTTATTGTATTGTCGCTATACGTAAGCTTCCGTTTCGTATCAATTCCACACTTTTTACTGTACAATTATTTATATCACTACGAAAGTTTATTTTAAAAATGTGTATCTTTTAAAAAAGGTAATAGATTTAATTAAGAGGTGAAAGAATGAATAAATATCAGCAAAATTTTAACAGAACTGGTACAAATGTAAGAACTTGACAACGCTGTTTCCAATACGCTTCAGTCCGTCTGCCCAAAAAATGTATGGAAGGAAAGGATATGGAACGGAAGGGAAACGGAATGGGATAGTGTGCATTATCCTATTCATTTACATGCTATAATATTTTATGTAAACTAATGGAAAACTGGGAGAAAGGAAAAAGAAGGGAGCTGATATGGAAGGTATAGTGAGAATCAACCTTTAGACGTTTGGTGTAAATAAGCTTGTCAAAGTTTAGTAAATAATAAGTATACAGAGAGTGGTTCTATATTTTTTTATCGCAATTAAAGGCCAGTTATAAATATGCTATCTGAAGTTTAAAATGTCAGTATTTAGAAAATGTCTATGCATTTCCTGAATACTGACATTTTCATATCTGAACAAGACGATAAGTTGTAACTTCCTCCTTCTTATCGCCAAGAAAAAATATATATTTAAATAGCCCAACATGACGAACAGACGCTATTATCACCTTATGATTTACATAAATATGTCAAGTTTGAATGCGAACAACTTAGAAAATAAGTAAACCAATTATTTTGAAAATGCTAATTGGGGCTAATGCCTTGGCATACATACTTATAACCCGAGAGATTGGGATCTGTTTTTTATTTTTGAAAAAAATACATTAGGCTAAAAATACACTTCTACAGACAGTAACGAACATCATTAAATGTTTCAGGACATACATATGATGATATATACACATTTTTTCTCGATTATTGACACCGAAACGACCTACTACGATATAATATCCATGTGTATAAGTGCCATGGCTGTGTGAAAAATACTAATTTGTAATCAAGAAGCCTTGAAAAAATAGTTTTTTAGATCATCTAATGTTTTTCGTGTCTTGTCCTGGCCGGTTAAAAGATGCCCAAATTATATTTTTAAACATATCGCAATTTTTTTCAAATCGAAGAAGTGTGGCTCATTAGCATATTTGGAAAAAGCATTTTTTAGGAATAATTTGGCATAACACACTTGGTATTTCGAGTCAAATTTTCGTTATGAACCGCATGTTACAATTTCAAATAAATCATATTATGCGAAAATGTCAAAAGTTGACATATGATATGTCATTCTATTCAGAGTGTCATTTTCTATCGAAAAAAATTGAAATATAGCCAGGGTGTCAATTAAAAATCAAAAGTTGTAATCATTTCCGGTGAAACAGGAAGTGACTAAAAACAATTGAATACGTCAATCAATCCTAATTTATGTCATATACTAACATACCAAATCTCTTTTTTTTTATCTGAAAAATAAAAAAGTTATAGATGTGAGCCACTTTTGAGACGTACGCGGTATCCCATTGCGCAAGGTTTTGCCACATTTAGGAAACATTAGGGAACAGTTACGTATCTGCGTTTTATTGCTTCATATCAGGCAAAAGATGGGCCTACGTAACGTAACAACGACGTTACCTAGAACGCATTTCCCTTATAGGAATAAAATGCTCACTGGGATATTTCACACTTATAGCTTTAACAGAAAAATTTAAAATAATAATGTCAGGCAGAGAAGAGTGAAAAAACAGTGTACCTTTTCAAGCTGAGACAAAAGAGTATACAGATGTTTCAAGAACGCCAGAAGAAATTTAAGCTGGAATAGTAAGATTGAAATAAGGAATAGTTTCCCCTGTAAGCTTATCAAGAAATGTCATAATTTCCCAGGCAGTAATTCGAGATCCATTATTGTGTGGAAGAAATAAGGAGGCAGGAAAGAATAACGCTATCCACTTGACATCTCTCATCATCAACATATCAATTAGTTTATTTGTAAACCACATCCTTTTTTAATATAGACATTACCGATTATTTAAATTTTAAAATTTTCGCCGTTAAAATTCCTTCACTTGTTGTCCATCTTCTCTCATTTCTCTTGCTTCTGATCTTTTCTAGAGCTTCTTTAAGTCCTAGTAGTATAAAAAGTATACAAATGATACAATAGTCATCATGCACATTACTTCCTGGTAATATTCTTTTTTGTTACACAAGTTCAAAGAAACAAGCCAAAGATTTAAGATCGACAAAGAACGTTTAAACTTTATTGGTTTTGAAGGTTTGCATTTACTGCAAGTAAAAAATAATGGACCAATGTATTTTTGGTCAGGTGTGGAGTCCGAACGAAGTAAGGCGGGCGTGGCAGTTTTGCTTAGAAAGAAATTTATTAAACATATAATATAAATTAATAATATTATAATCGAAATCATCTACGTTAATGAAAGAATTTTGAAAGTCATTTTAAAGTATTTTGGCAGACAAATTGTTATCTTGGCTGTGTATGCTCCAACTGATGACGCTATAGCAGAGATAAAGGACGATTTCTATTATGAGTTATGTGCACAATTAGACATGGTAACCCAATTAGACATGGTCACCAGACACTAATTCTTGCAGGAGATTTCAATGGAAAAGTCGGTACGAGGTTTAATGATGATGTAGTTGGACGTTTTGGAGACCCAGATACAAATGACAGTGGTAACAGATTGGTGAATACATGCAAACAATATAATATGAAAATTAACAAGACCTTTTTCCAGCATAAACAAATTCATCAGTATACTTGGACACGGCCGTCTTTGGGTCAGAAATCAATTATTGACTTTATAATAACTAAACAATCTATCCAAGAAAAGATAAAAAATGTCACTGTAAAGCGAGGAGCGAATTGTGGGTCGGATCATTTTATGGTTGTCTCTGAGATGATTTATCCTTACATGAACAAAAACACAAACAACAAATATGACACAACAGAAGCTGAAACGGAGCAAGTCACTCTGTCATATCCAAGATATAAAGTCAACTTGTTAGGAGATGACAGTATTAAATACCTCTACCAACGACGTATCAAGCATCATTTGCAGAAAGAACAACCCAAGCATACTATTGAAGAAGAACATACCCAAATTACACAAGCCGTACATCAAGCAATGCAGGAAGCTGTAGGATATAAGGAGCAAATCAAGAACCAACCTATATGGATGACGGATAAGCTTGAAGAGAAGATAAGTGAAAAGAAGTTGAATTATAATAACTGGTTAGGAATCCAACAGATGAAAATTGGTTAGCATATAAGAAGTTACAAAAGGAAGTTCGACAACAAGTAACCGAGGAAAAGAATAGTATGTGGGAAAGAAAATGCAATGATATTGAGACTTACATTGGGGGATTTCGATCTACGGAAGCATGGAGAACTCTGAAAGGGATGAAAGCAAATACGCGTGAACGATGGACGGGAACTATATCTTTAAGTGATTGGAGGGAACATTATGAAAACCTATTAATAGAGCAACGACCACAGTTTTTACAAAACAATGAAGCCGTCACTATTACAGAAGCTAGAACAAATATATCGATCGAGGAAGTTAATCAAGCCTTGGTGTCTATGAAAAACGGTAGAGCTCTAGGACCGGGTGGTATTATGGCTGAAATGCTAAAATATGGCGGAGAATGTCTTATAACAGAAATAACAAACTTAATGCAGATGTGTGTAGATCGGAATAAAATACCTAATGAATGGAAGTTAGCCTATATCACTTCTATATATAAAAAAGGGAACAGAAAAAACCCGAATAACTACAGAGGTCTTAGTGTGAATTGCACCTTCAGCAGACTTTTTACAAAAATAATTAGAAATAAGTTAGAAATATTTACTTACTACAAAATCAGTGAAGAGCAGAGTGGCTTTACTGCAGGGCGTTCATGTATAGATAATCTATTTACTATCCAACAACTGATAGAAAAACGGAATTACGTGAAGAAGATACACATATAGCTTTTGTAGACCTTCAAAAAGCTTACGACTCGATCCCCAGAGTTAAACTATGGTACATACTGGAACAACTTGATGTGGATGAATGTCTCATAAATTTAATTAAGGTGCTGTACAACAACAACACAGCTCGCGTTAAGAGCGGTAACAAACTGTCTGAGGTAATTTTTACGACCAAAGGCCTTCGACAGGGATGTCCTCTGTCGCCTCTTTTATTTAATCTGTATTTGGAAGTGGTTCTTAGGGACTGGAAGAAGAGGTGTGGGGGAATGGGCGTCCCTGTAGGAGATGACTGTTTGGTTACATTGAATTTTGCCGATGATCAGGTGGTCATAGCTCAAGATGCTTACGACCTTGAATTCATGATGAGCAGATTAAATTCGGCATACACGGAATGGGGCCTTACTGTGAACATTGATAAAACGGAATATCTAGTGACCAATTCAGATGATAAATTTGACATTTTTATTACTGAGATGCAAAGCTCAGACAGGTTGAATGGTTTAAATATTTGGGGGCACGTATAACCAGAAAGGGACTGGACAAAACAGAAGTATCTGCTAGAATAGAACAAGGGCGGAAGATTATAGGAGCACTGAATGGAATCTGGTGGGACAAAAACATAAGACCAAACACAAAGTACATATTGGAAGAGCCCTAGTGGAGTCGGTAGTAACTTATGGGTGTGAAGTTTGGACCTTAAAAGTGAGCTTTGAATGCACTCGAAATGGACTATTTGAGACGCAGTGCGGGAGTATCTAAACTGGACAGAGTTAGGAACGTGGAAATCAGAGCCAAAATGGATGCCACACAGACAATAGTGAATAGAGTCGAACAGAGGGGCCTTAAGTGGTTTGGACACTTGCTACGCATGGAACACCAAAGATGGCCCTACCGTATCTACAGCTGGTTACCTCCTGGAAAAAGGAAAAGAGGACGGCCTAGAAGATCTTGGAATGAGGCCATCAGAAGGGCAATGGAGAACCGCAACTTGGAAGAGGAAGATGTTCTTGATCGTAACAGGTGGCGGTTAGGCGTGGGGATGCGACGTTAGTTGTGACAACACTGGAGTATATATATATAAAAAATCATGGCATTGATACTACATTTCCTGATTTCTAAATAAAATATTTTTTTTACTTTTTTTAGTAACATGATTACATTAGATTAGAATTTTGAGGTGACTATAGGCCTGTTCCACTGCGACCTTTTCAGATCTATTATGGTCTTTCTGATTTCTAAGTTATATTCTCCTATCCTTTTCATAAATCGTTTGTCCATTTCCTATCATTGCTTAAAAAAAGGACCGCATATTTGCCAGGCTGCTCCACTGATATAATATGTTTTCTGTCGTTTCCTCTTCAAATTGAAAAAAAATCTGTGCATGGTTTCGGCCGTCAATCCCATCAGCTTTAGATGCCTGTTAAGCTCCCTGTTAGTAGACCCTCGGTAGGCCCACTATACCTTTAACAGTCTTTCTGCCTTTGCTTATCAAGTCTACCGTAAATTTTGGCCAATGTTCTACTATAGGAACTATATTTCGCCTGTCTCTGCCCTGGTAAATTTCTCCACCATTCTAAGATGTTTGTGACTTACTGTTTTGTGGCTATTCTTGTTATTTTGCTTTTTTGTTAATATTGTAGATACGAGGCATGTTTTTTAAGTAAGTACCGTTTTGGAATTAAAAAAAAAACGTGCAAAGATATCGCAATAATTTTATTTTTACATGAAAGCCTGTACCTTAATCTACTTTTCTACATAATTTCCGTGAATATTGAGGCACTTGTCATAACGTGGCACCAGTTTTTCAATACCCTCCTCATAAAATTCTGCCGCCTGACTGGTTAACTACTGTATCACAACTGTTTTGACTTCGTTATCGTCTTGAAGACGCTGACCGCCCAGGTGTTTCTACAAGTGCAGGAATAAATGGTAGTCACTGGGCGCCAGATCAGGGCTGTATGGAGGATGATCTAGAGTTTCCCATTTAAAAGATTTGATGAGATCTTTGGACCGATTAGCCACATGTGGACGGGCATTGTCATGCAGCAAAACAATACCCTTACTCAACTTGCCACGTCTTTTGTTTTGGATTGCACGGCGCAGATTGTTCAATGTCTCACAATAAGATCCGTAAACTTCCCAGATCTCACGATGAATATCGATCGGTTTTACGCCTTTAGCACTAAGAAATCGTATGACAGCCCGTACTTCACAATCGGCGGGGCTCAAGATTGTCGGAGGCATCTTAAACACTCAATAAACAACGTATACAATGAAGAATCAGACTGTACTGGCGTCTGTGCATAGACAAGAGATGTAGGTAACCAGCGCGCATGCGCGGAACGCCGACCGTAGCGCTGCGGCGGTGGAATCGCAAAACGGTACTTACTTAAAAAACATGCCTCGTATATATAAAATATAATCAAACCTCAGGGGAAAGTTTTTATTTATTTTATTAAATAAGTTGAGATTTAGTGATTATCTCGACAGTAATGAAACACTTGCCTACTTATTATATGTTGGTGAGTAATCGACATATTTAAAACCCAATTTATTTGTAATCACATTGACATTGCTAATAAGGAATCATTATACATAAACATACACGTATCTTATTAACACACTAAATAATAATAACGGTTACATCTTTATGTTCACACCAATCTGGTGCGGACATAAGGTAAGCGGTAGCGGAGACTAACCAGCTTGAGCTCAAAGGAGTCACACGTGTCTCTCGAAACTTATTTTTATCCGCGTAGCGTGACAGCAGAAGTATTGGATTTTTTATTAGCACTCGGTCACAAGAGTGTATAAGTTGTCTCGACTAAAAATTAGCACTTCGTGGTGTTTTATGTCATTGAAATGTATAAACCGTTAGTAATATTTACTACCAAGGAGAAAGTTATTTTAATTAACGTGATCTTAACAGAAGAAGGAAATAAATAATTGAAAGATACAATACCGCAACAATTCCGATATTAGCGCTGACGTTATTTTGTCGTTTATGTTTGTCTAATTTTAAGATATGTAACCATAAAATATCTGATGGTAATATTTCATAGAAAAGTAGTCATATTTTCAATTAATTAATATTTATTCTATTTATTCAGCTAAAAGGTTCTTTTGTCAGTAATTAAGTAGCCAATCAGTAGAGTATAAGTAGACTATCAGGATAAGGCTGAGGCTGATTAATTTACATTTTTACCTCCTCTATTTTTCTCATAAAGATTTCGATTTAAATTAAAAAATTAAAATTAAAATCATATTGCGGTCTGGTCGACTTTACGAGTGGACTTTTAAGAAACAAAATTCCAATATACTCAACTTCACAGCTGCAAGCTCACAGAAAACTTAAAAGTATTTTTTTGACTTAAATCATTTTAATGACTTAAGTCATTTGAGTCATTTTTCGAAAGCTGACTTAAGACTTAAAATTTAAGTCTTTTCAAAATTACTTGTGATTTAGATCTTTATTCCCAAATGGAAAAAATATTTAAGTCTTTTTTGAAAGCACATGGAAAATTTTTTGAAAAGGCTTAAGTCAGATTTTTATATATTTTAATGATAACTTTTAACAGCAGCATTTCTTTTTAAATTATTAGGCGGATTATTAAACTGAAGTAGCGCTGTCAGAAACGTGTCATTTGTCGTTGTAGAATGCCATGCCACCAGGCGCGTGGCAAACGCCCCCGCGGACCCCGCGTGGCGGGGTGGCCCCGTGTAAATTGGGGGCCCCCGCACCTCATCCTTTAAAAACAATTATCAAACAAACCGAAAACTGAAATTACATTTAGGCACACAAACCTTTTTTCAGCAATAATTAGGTTGATATAAAACAATTATTTTACACTACATTATTCTCTACAGGTATATTAATATTAATTATTGTAGAGGTTAATTTGGAATTTAGTTTAGTTGTAAATTTGTTTAGGCGACACAACACACGGCGATTATCATGTTTTCACGGCGTTTTTGATTAAAAGTACCATATCATATCGGTAGACTTTTTCCATAAGCACTTATTTTAAATGACTCTGTGAGCAATATTAGCGAGATAAGAATTTTTTTGACACGGTTCAGAGTCTTTATATGCTTTTCAGTGAAAGCCTACCCCGTTGGCAAAGCTTAAAGCAGATGCACCCGTAGTGAGTAACATGTCTATATTAAAATCACCACCAACAAGGATTATGTCAGAAGTTGGTAAAACATGAGTAAAAGCATTTTCAAAATCATTGATACTTGACATTAAATTTATATTAGGTGGTCTATAGATAGATGCAAAAGCTATTCTCT